AATTATAAAAATGTAATATGAGCATCATATTTGTGTATTTGCTCATTTAAAGTACTATACAAGGGGGGAAAAGACTGGGGAAAATATTGATATCACTCAATACCCTACAAAACTTCAGTGGTAAAATATAATACAGTATAAAGAAAATATAATCCCTTAACTAAATATGGCAACATGCACTCTTTAAATTTATTTTTATTTTTTGGCAACTCTGGTTCCATGAAAAATCTTTAACGTCCCTGAAACACTTCTATTACTCAGAAGGTTCCTTATAGTGAAACAAATGTTTATTTGTTGTCTTCCACATCAAGGAAAAAAAAGGTTGTTTTAAGAACTGTTCAGTGAAAGGTTCTGTGGGGAGCCCAAAATGCTTTTTCTATGGCATCACTGCTTAAACCCCCTTATGGAAGCTTAATATTTAATAGTGTGCAGGCCATATACGTCTGCATGGGCATGCTAACAGACAGCTTTCACCAGCCATTATAGACTTCCCAATTTGTACTGTAGACTTGCATTTTAGTTGTGCCTGTAGGCTATATGGAGCAACAGCGCTCTCTCTTGGATAAGACTTGAACAGAAATACATGCACACGCACACAACTGAATAAACTTCTCTAAAGCTTCAGTGTTAATACTCTCACTCCATGTTACTCTCCTTTATTTGGCATATGTAGCACTTGGACGATGACAACAAAGAATCTAATAGCTTGTAATTGTTATAGAGAAACTTTGAACATCCACCGTAACAGGAAGATGTAGCTAAGAATAGTTTCCACCCACCCTCACCGATAGGAGTTCCTCTTAGACACTGTTAGAAGAATTAGTTTCTCCTACAGTGGCTGGCCATCTCAATACTGCTCAATTATTGTTATTACTTTAATATATAGCCATATGCAGTAAAACAATATGGTCTGTAAGTAGTTGTTTGGGAAAAGATGATCTTTATTGTCTACTCGCACGGAAATTTGTCTTTGGCTCCACCCCGCAAGATGGAAAATTACACGATATACATATCATTACAAAAACAGGACAGAACTATTCATGCATATTGACAATCAGATTTATGCAATGGCTTCCTCTTCTGGCTTTGTGCCCTGACGTTTGAGAATAAGATGCAGTATAACAAAATAAAATAAATTTGAGAGGAGTGCTATAAGACATAATGTATGGATGTAGAATAAAATACATGGTTCAAAATATGAATAGAACAGCTCAGTAAAAAAAAAAATCTCAATAAGATTACATTTTTATTATCCAATAAACATGCAGCTTGTGTGGGTGCAATTATGCTCATTTATCATTTCCCTATTAGTTTTCCTGTAACAAATCACACTTTGTAAAACTAGGATTATCTAGTACATTTCAAATTTGCATAAAAACAAGGATTTGAGCATTGAAAAATGTTTATCTATCCAACATGTTCATTTCTGCATCTGCTAAGTAGTTTGGATGTTCAAAATTTCTGATAAATGAGGCATAAATATTTTAAATACTGATATTTACCTAAATTTTTACAGACCTTAACAGTTTTGAATGCAAATATATAGCTCACGTCCCTCTTTTCCCTATTTAACTCTGCGTTTACTGGAATTGCACACTAATTACGTAGGTTTTGTCACATTGCACCCAAATACTTATGAAAACCATTTTTGGGTTAAGTAAATTATAATCAGTTATCCTTATTAGTATTAGAATTTTTATGTAGTTGTTATTATTATAGGCTAGCTATTATTTATTCTATTTTTTTATTTTATTTAACCTGAATAAAAATGAAGCTGTGGTCACATTTAATTTTTTTTACCTTGAATCTTTTTCCTCAATAGTACAACCCATTAAACAGACTAACTATATCCTTCACAGCCTCGTTTTCCTTTGTGTTACATTAAATATGCTGTCTACTCTAACTAAAGTGTATTTGCCTCATCACCCACAGACTTTCACAGTTCTGAAAACAAAATTGTACATCTGATTCCTCTTTTCTCCATTTAGTTCAGTGGTTCAGTCTCATATGATGTTCTCCCTTTCACCCAGTCATTCCCCAGCCGAGCCAAATGCTGATATAGCGGCGACATACTAATATTGTCTCGTCTCTCACTTGCCCCATTTAGTGAGACCAGCATAACTGCACACTGCTCACTGATCCGCATTTAAGGACCCCACCGATAGAAGACATCTCAGCTCTCATGTAGCTCAGGGCCACATGACTGTTGGCAGAGGGGAGGGGATGCTAGTCCACAGCAGGGAGTGGGCCTGCATTCCTGATGCCAGAGAGCATACTTGGCATTCCTGGCTTCTCCTAGTTGCTCTCAATGAGCCATTTGACTGGCACTGAGGATTTTTCCCCCAGCGTGGCAGAGTCAGCCTCTGACGGATGAGAGTTGCTGCTCTGGAGAATAGGAGACCATTCATGCCATACTGGGGCTAGAATGATGCCATTGAAATGCACCACGGAAAATGTTTAAAAGTGCCACGACTCAATTCAGTGTGATTTGGGTTGTTTTTAGATGGTCACAGTCAAATAAGGCATTGCATAAATATGTAGAAACACTAACAAAAAGAAGCAAAAGGATCTATTCTTCTGTAAAGTGGTATGACTTAATTCAGTGGGGTTTATTTTTTTATTATTACGGTCAAAATATTGCATAAACATGTAGAAACACTGACAAAATAGTAGTGAAATATATAGATTTTTCTGTATTTGGGTGCAATCTTTCGGATCAGTTTGAATCAGTTATAATCTTTGTCACGAAATATGTTTTCTCATCCCTGTCATTCAGTATGGGACAACCAGATACAAAAACTGTCATATAAGTTTTTGAAATAGTAAGAAATCTTGCATTCACTGAAAGAAAACATTGCCATTGATATTGCATAATTTTATAACATTTTCTGTAAATCATTTTTAAATTCTCACCCTGACAAGACATAGTAGCACTATTTTTTTTATATAGACAATGCATAAAAAAAGTGTATGTATAGGTGCACACACACACACATATATGAAGAGTTCAGATGCAAAAGTCCCGTCTGAAATTTTCTTCTATAGTGAGCATTTTTATCAGGCTCCTATATTTGTTCAATTATTTCACTTTAATTGCATGGAAAAGGGACAAAGGGACATGCTCATTTTAGATGAAAATTTCAGATGGCACTTAGAGGGCTTTTGCATCTGAACTCTTATATATGTAAGGTATAATTGACTTCGGTCCGTTGAATTCTTCGAAAATAATGCACACCTGAGGTGGTGATGGCGGAGTGGCCGTTACACCTCGGGTGTGCATTATTTTCTAAGAATTCAATGGACCGAAGTAAATTGTTCCGCTTGTACTACGGTTGCCACACCTCAAGACATCGATCAGATGATATATTTCAGGGCATTTGTCCGGTTTTTCAACTTAAAACTCTACTGAGAGTAGGATTATTTCTTCCGCATCTCATCCAACGCCTCCATTGCTAATTCCAAAATGTCATTTTAAAGGGGTCATATGATGTTTCTAAAAAGAACATTATTTTGTGTTCTACACTGTTCAAAACTCATGTTTGAATCATCAGTGGCAAATTCTTTAAATATAAAAACATACTTACAGGCTGTGAGTCATGAAGCGCCAGACTGTCCTTGCAAAGTTGGAATTGCCCCACTTTACAGAAAAAGACACCAGCATTGTAGGCTACTCTCCAGGAAACAGTCCTCGTCCTCCATAAAATGTGCTGCACACATCTGAATATTTGGATTGAACTGTTCTGGAACATTGTTGTAAATACAACTTAAAGGGGTCATATGATGTTGCTAAAAAGAACATTATTTTGTGTATTTGGTGTAATGATATGTGTTTATGCGGTTTAAGGTAAAAAAAACACATTATTTTCCACATACTGTACATTATTGTTTCTCCTCTATGCCCCGCCTTTCTGAAACGCGTCGATTTTTACAAAGCTCATCGGTCTGAAAAGCGAGGTGTGCTCTGATTGGCCAGCTATCAGTGCGAATCAGATTCAAGCATTCAACGGCCCCGTAGTGTATGTGTGTGTGTATATATATATATAAATTTAAATATATATATAAATTTAAATATAAAGGAAAGTGAGTAATAATTACATGTTTAAAATCAGTAAAGAAAAAGTAACTAAAAGTACCGTGGGACTACTACCATATATTTTTTTTACTACTATCCTTGTAATACTGTGTTTTCTTGACATGTACCATTGTTGAAGTACCTTGGGATACCAGCAACATGGTATTACTTAGGTAGGTGTGGCTGACTCTTAACTTTTATAAGGAATATCTCTTTGGATTTGAGACTTTAGTCTTTGCAACTTTACAGATCTTCTTTATGCACCAAGAGCTTGTAACACTCCAAAGAGAAAGGAAAAATTGAAATCGCATCATATGACCCCTTTAAACCTAGTAACGGAGGCTTGAGACATTGATAGCAGACTAATGCAGTTATTAACTAAGTTATTAGAGAGAGAGAGACAGAGATTGATTACCTCTGTGAGTCTGTGCATCTCTCAAAAGTGTTCGGCAGCAATGTCTCTAGCAATAGTGTAACTTTAATTTAATTTTCTTCACGAACAGCGCCGTTGTTGTTACCTCGCTTGTAAGAAGTCATGTAGTTTTTAAGTTATTAAACTGTTACTGATAAAATCGTCAGAGTAGCGCTACCAGCATTAGCGCGTATGTTAACGTGTAACTGTATGTGCGTCTGTGAGGGAGAGAGCGGGGGAGAGAGTAGCTTTCTGTACATAATAAAACGTAATTTTGTGACAAAAACATGGACATGATCTGTCGTTTTTATCCGATTGTTTACTATATTTATTTGTTTGGCCAGTGTCATTGTGGGGTTTGGTTCTTTTAATGTTGTTAGGTTGTAATGTTAAGGACCTTTGAAATACTCAAATCATTTGGCGAAGTGATATGGACATGTAATGCGATCAAGACTAGTGGTCGATCGATATTGGTTTTTTGACTGCCGATATCTTAGAGAGCAGAGTAGCCGACCTATGATACCACTACAGTACTCCCCCCCACCCCCCTCAGCATTCTTTCCCTATCTTGTACTGTAGGTACTGTACATATCCATCGACACTGTCACTTCCATGTGGCACATTTAGCAGCGCTCGTTCTCCGTTTCCCGTTAAGCTCAATTGTAGGCAGAGCTCAGGAGCGTACGGTGCTGAAACCGAGGCTGTAACGTCATGCTCGACTCTAAACCTCACCCACCCTCTCAGAGGCAAGCAGCTCTTTCACAGGCGCAGACGGACTGACTGGCTGGAGCTGGAGCGGATTGCTGTAAGTATCGCATTTGCGCGAGATTCTGTGGCATTACAGTCGTAACGGCGCGTGTATTGCTCGGGAACTATGAGGGGATTAGGGACATTGTAGCGGCTGAACGGCGGAATGTTACAATGTTGCAAAGCAGACCGGTAAAGGGTTTGCGGAAGAGCAGTTCAGATGTCTAGAATATGGCGGAGCTGGAGTGAAACAATTCAACTCCTTAGATTTGCCAGACTCGGCTTAATGGCGAAAATGATCGCTGGGAACTTTGTGTAGAAGCGCGCGAGGTTTGCGGTGTTCTGTTGCGTGAAGAATGGTGTTTTTTGTTGTCTCATGCCCACGGCACTGTGGAAGTTATAGCGGAAATGGAAAAGTTGTACGAATGAGTAGTTTAACGAAGCACAGATTATCGGCTTCTAACCGTCAAAGCTGCATTTTTCGACACGGTTTACGTAAAGAGATGGATAAGGAGTGTCAGGCATTGTGATAAAAGGCACATTTGGCGCTTCCAACGCAGTCTTTCCTTCTAGATTTGACTGATTACCGGCCCCGCCTAGTTCTGTTCTGTTCTGTTCCTCAGTCGAGGGAGATGACTAGTTCATTCAAGAAGAATTGGAGAAAATGACTCGGTTTTCTTTCACGGTGGAGTGACTGTCAGCTCACGTAGGAATACTTTGCACTCCTGCTTTTCAGGGTTACGGAAAGAATTATATTTAAAAAAAAAAAAAAAACTCATGTTGCATTCCACTTCATAGACCAGGAAACATCACGGGGCCCTTATAGACTCCTAGTTGGATGTGACATTTTGAATATTGTCCTCTGAGAAGGGATATGAGGCTGAAGTCTCTCAAAGAGGTTGTTAAAGAAGATCCTGTTGCTTCTCCATGCATTTTTAATGGCTTGATCTTTAATGACGGGGCTCTTGTCAAATTAAAACAGCCTTTCTCCAAAGGTGTCTCTACACAGCCTGCTCTGAGGTGGCTTTGTGTCTGCTATAAAGTCTGTGTAGAAATGCCATGTCGCAAATAACTACTAAAATATGCCAGATTCCCCTTAAGCACATAGTATCTGCATCTGATGCTGCTTTGCTTCTGTGGGAATGAAATGCAGCATCAGTGCAGCCTTAAGGTGCGGCCACGTTTACCATTTTTCTGCAATTTTTATGGACGAAATCTAGTCATTCCAATGGGAATTCGCACGATTGGGAGTCTTGTGTGATGGCGAAATGTTTCCGATGCAGATTTCACTCTTCAAGTTTGTCACACAAATTGGCCGCACTCACCAACAGAAAACTGCTTGATTTGACAGTGACTTTAATGGGAGCTCTGCTTCATAAATAGGTATGCTATTGATGATGAACCTTTTTTTTTTTTGCCTGTGAAATTTTGCTGAAAAACTAGCCAATGTGACTGCACATTTAAGCATATATTATGAATTAACATTTTCATAGTTTATATTTTTAATTTCACATTGTATTTCTATATTCAGAATTTCCTAGCATTATTTTAATCTTTGTATTATTTTAATTTACTCCATTGTGTAAATACACCTTTATTTGTGGAATACATAGAGCTTCTGTGCCACCTTTCCACTGTAAAATGGTTCAAAACTCCATTTAGGCTTTGTGGAATTTGTATAGGTTTATGTTTGCTGCAATATTTATGACAACTTGTGCAACCACCAATCAAGTGAACACCGTTTCCTGTTTTTGAGGGGGTATTGAGCAAACACTTGTCATTCCCAATCACGGAAAAGTAGGCAGCAATATATCTGTCACTGCCAAAGGCAGATAAGTGTATGTACACCCTTACATTTCCTGTGTCAAAACTCTTTTGTCAGTTCACTAACTTCGTGTGAAATATGAGTTAACGCAGTCATAGCTTTGTTTTTGCATCTTTTTTTCTTGTGTCCTGTTTACCTATGTCATCAAGTTTGAGTTAAAAAATGTGTAATTTATACATGTGTACATACATGTCCAAATTCTCGAATTGAGAAGCCAAGCTTGTTACCATACCAGTACTTGGCACAGATCTTTTTTGGAGTGTTGGGTCGGGACGACCTCACCCTAGTGGGGTCTGACCCCGATCCTGTCCCTCCTAGAGCAAGAGGAAGGAAATCCCCGTGATAGTGTGTCCTCTTGGGCACAGAGGAATGCCGGTCTGTAGGCTCTGTTGAAAATAACAAAATGAAGAGATGTGGACTTCCTTTCAAAGAAGGCCGCCCACCGTTTGAACACCCTTTAAAAATCTGGGTTGGGTCCTGGAAGAAACGTTTAGAGCCACGTCTGCTATGATGTGTCGATTTCAGGTAACGCTTTCGTGTAGTTCCTAGTTGTTATGTATAATTATAGTCGCGATTGTTGCGGTTACAGTGTGGTTATTGCTTTGAGCTGTATCAGAACTTCCCAGCAGCGTTCTTGTGGGAGTCAAACCATATGCAAACAAACACGGGGTCTGTCAGGGAAGCAAATATCTCTTTGACTTTGTAAATGACAGTTCTAATACAGCTGTCGGGACTGATTCCTCTGGAGGGCCGTGTCTGAATAACCAGCCTGCTAGTCTGAATTACGCTCTGTATTGTTCTAATGTCACTATATTATGGGTCTGTAACTGGTATATATATGGTTGATTGTGGGTTTTTCAGTTTCAGATCCTTAAACTTTACCTCTTGAGGCCCTGATATTGAATATTGAGTATTGAGAACAGCTATGGCATTAGTAAGTGCTGTGGTTTCCCACCAAGGCTTTGACATTTGACTAGGAAATGGAATAGCGTTTTGAAGCCAGTGGGTAATGAGATGACAAAACATTAACTGCCAACTGTCGGTAACTTTTTGAGACTTTTAGATGAACCAACTGAGCAGAAAGGAAAGGAGATGCTATGGAGAGGAAGAGCATGACAGTCTGGGGAAAAGAAGGCTGTTGGCGTCCCTCAGCAAATTGGACCACTTCCTCTTTAGGCCAAAGGGCCTCATGAAACCTGGTGGCCCTGTCACGCCTTCCTTCCTCCTTTTAAGTCATGTGATTGTGCGAGACCAAGTGAGTGTAAAGAGAGCTGTGGGTTTGATATTGTAAATATACTTTGTTTTTAGCAGATATCAAGTGGATCTCAGTGTAAGAATTCAGAATTGGCTCTCAAGTTGTTTCCAAGGGTTACTGAGCTAATGTGGTGTAGCTCAGCTTGACACTCACGTTTTCTAACGCTAATCCCAAAGCAATTCCTCCATCTATTCCCACACATCATTGTCCTCATTTAAGCATGTAAGCCATGACTGTGGACGCTATTTGTGACTTGCAAGATTGGGGCCTTTTCTGAGTCTATGATCCAGAAATAGACATTCGAATGACACTTATGAGCACATTGAAATTCAGATATTTGTTGTTGCTTTATAAATGTACGCTGATGTTGAAAAATGTTGTCAGTAATATGTTTTTTTTTTTTAATTTCTTGAAAGAAAATGCTGCTTTTATTCAACAAGGATGCACTGCATTGATAAAGTATCAATTTGTCTCTGAAGACAGTGAAGACATTAATAATGTTATACAAGATTTCTATTTCAAATAAATACTGTTCTTTATCAAAGAATCCTGACAAAAAAAATGTATCATGATTTCCTCAAAAATATTAAGCAGCACAATAATGTGGCACAGAAGACTTGAGTAATGGCTTCTGAATCACAGGAAATTAAATTTTAAAATGTTAAAATAGTAAAGATGTATTTTAAATTGTAATCTCACAATATTACTGTTAAATAAATGCAGCAGTGTAAGAGACTTCTAATAAAAACATATTACTGATCCCAAACTTTTGAACAGGAGAGAGTGTTATATTTAAAGGCTTTTTAAGGGCTGGATGAAATTTATAATATTGATTAAAAAAAGAAAATCTAGATATTTTTCAGCCTTATTAAACATGGTTTTATGTAGGCCTACATATTGTCTCTGAAATGGCTTAAGTCTCTGTACGTTTCATGGCACGATTGTTTTGGCTAAACTGCCAAAATAAAATAAAATAAAAATCTGCTTTAAAGGAGTGTTTTTGAGCATTACATTTTGAGGAAAAAAAACTCACTGAACTGATTATCAAAATGTCTTATGTCTAAGTGCTTTATTTCAGGATTGACGCAAGGCCTGAAATAGCCTAAAAATCAATATAAATTGGAAAAAGCATAGTGTAATCATCCATATGTTCACAATGTTAGTTTATTATGCACATAAATATTAGATCTACTACCCAACCTTTATGATGACACCTCCTATTAGGCTGAGATCTGATTTAGAAATGCACAATGAAATGGTTTGAGCAACAAGTTCATGAAGCAGCATTGCTCATTTGTCTGCAGAGAATTAGCCTGTGTGTGTGTGTGTGTGTGTGTGTAAACGCATCCCTGGGGTCTATATGCTGTAGTTAGTCAGATGTTAGATGCCCTGCCATGTGTTGACATTTGACACTAGAGGTTGGACTGAGTTCTCATTGATCTCGTCTCCCGTTGCTCCTTTTCCTTCCATAATCTGCCTCCCGACTTGTTGTTTTCCAGTCTCTAAGCAGCTTACTGGTTCTAGCAATCAGAATCGTGCTATTGCCTTTTACCTTGTTTGACACCCCTGCCCTTTGAGCCAGTCTTTGTAATTGTTGTGGGCATCAGTTGCCTTGTAGTTTAGTGTAACTAGATCAGAAGTGGGGCTAAAATTGTACCTCAGTGTAAATGCCAGTTCAGATGTTTTTGAGTTACATTTTAAAGGAATAGTTTGCAGTTAGTCACACAAACCTGTATGACTTTCGTCCGTGAAACACAAAAGGAGATGCTTTGCAGAATGTTCATGCTGTACTTTTGCATACAGTGAAAGTGAATGGCGACCAAAAATTGGTCAAACTCCAAAAATGAGAGAAAAATAACATCACACCAGGCTGAATGTTGAATAAATATTGAATATGTGTTTGTTCAAATTGCATAAATGAGATTTGAGAGCTATAAAGACCACTAGTGTGTGGATCATAAAGGTCAAAAAGATTTTT